ACTCTTTCCTTGCTGAAAAGATTGTCAGTTTGCTGCTAAACCCTGTGATGAGCTTTCCAGAGTGCTTTTAAGGAGATGATGGCAAAGGAAGCCAGTCAGAGCTTGCTGTGCCCTGAACCCCAGGTGGAACCAGTGGCATTTTCCCCAGACTTAGCCTGGCATCACTGAGAAGATAATGAGCTCAATAGAATGTAAGGGATAATGATTTTGCACCTTTCTGAATGTCACCCACACAGTTTGCACTGCCTTACTACTAAGGTGAGTAGCAAGAAGTTCACATGAATTTGAAAGGAAGAATTAATAGGCCACACTGTCACAATTAGCTCATACGTCTACTTGTATGTAGACTGTACCTGATCTTCTGTTCTTCCCTTGTGAGGCCAGCTCCAAACTTGTGGTGTATGCTGTGACATGTGTTGCTGTCTTCTAACGATCTAGGACAACAGGAGAAAGTTCAGGCAAGGGAGTTCCCTACCAAAAAGGGGTTTGTAACAGGTTGTTGACACTCACCCAACTTTCTTGAATTCTTTTACAGAAAATTCCCAAATATAACAGATCTTCTGCACCTGGATACATCTGATCTGCAAGACCAAATATCAAAAATGCCTTTTGCCATTCAAGGGAAAACCATCTCACTGTCACAGAAGTGCTTTCCCGTGTTTTAGGAGAAAACTTGAGCTTATGTAAACAGGATTTGCAGGAAGATGCTGCCAGAGCACCCTTGGGAACCTCCAGGTGCCTTGACTCCAATTTTCACCCACCTCCCCGCTGCCATCTTCTCCATTTTATAGGTGACTTACCTTTAACTGTGGCTTCATTATGGCTCTGTTTATGACAGTCTTTATCAGCTACAAGAGGATCATCTGAATTACTACCAACAGGTAGTGCCAAAGTGGACAAATCAATCCAGGTCACCTTCTTGCAGGTGTATCTCTGAAACTCATCCTACAGAAACAGAACACAGTTCAGTGACAAGCCCAAAATGTTGCCTGTGGTGTTCCCTGACTCTGGGAAGTACATATGAAATTCCCAGAGAACTACAGTACTGTGGCATCATTTTAAGAATATCATTGCAATGTTGAATATTAAGTGTCTTAAGCATTTGCTCTGCTAGAATTGAGTTGGGTTTTAATTTATAGTCATGGACTCTTAGAATATAACTAATGCCTGAAATCTAGCTCTCTAAAACCCACCTCCTCAGCATTCTTCAATAACTTTAAAGCAGAAAGGCTACTAACAGCCACAACTTCTGAAGATGATCCCTCCACTGAAGCCAGTTGACTGCACCCCATGCACATAGAGGAAGGGACGAGGCAGAGCTGTGTTACAGAACATGTTGTTGGCAGACGGCAGCTGCAGGGGCCTGCGGATGGGCAGCAGCAATGCCTGAAGTCTGCTTGGTGCCCAGCCTTCGGGCAGAGAAGTTGTGCTCTTGTTAGTGTAAACATGATCTTTTACGCAGTGTTTCAAACTCTGCAAATAAAAATGGTTGGTCCTCTGCAGCTTAACTGATCCTTGCTGCTCCACTTCCAAAAGTGGAAAGTGTTACTAACCTGCTACATCATGCAGACAAAGACAGGTAGGCTGCCCTGTCTGTGAAAACAATAGGTTTTGCAAACAACAATGAGCTAGGAAGGTTCACCTACTGTTGTTTGAGCAGAACAGCGTCCGCTTCTTCCAAGCTGCAGCGGATGCAGTTTGCTCACACATCCCACTCTGGCTTCCAGTAAAACAGCAGCAGAGCCCCACAGGAGAAGATGTATCCAGCAATGCACAAGACCCTCTGCCAGCCTTGGGTTTTGTAGCCAAATATCTCCTGTACAGCAAAGAGAAAGCATTCTTTGTTAACAAGTTTGACCTTGGCATTTGTTCATCAGGAAACCCAAGCTTATTGAAAAGAAAGGCTGGTGACTGAAGCCCTCCCTCATAACTGCTCAAGGTCATTTTTGGAAATGAGAGTTTGCTGATTGATATGACATAGTTAAGAATACAGAGAGCTGCTGAAAGGAGGATGCTGCCGGGCTGCTGCTGGCAGAGAAGCGTTCTCACATCAGCTCTCCCAGGATTAATGAAGAATTAACTCCAGTCTGGAGTTTTTATCATCAAGACTGCAGCTGACCCGTCATGGTAACACTTCTCTACCTGCAGTGCTAGCACCAAATAAGCCCTGCCTGCCTTTGAGGAGGATGTCTCCATGCAAACTTAGTGCTGACTGCTGAAATCTACCTTGCAGCAGGGGCACAGAATCTGCCTCAGGGAAAGAAAACTGCCAAGCCCCGAGCAACTCCTCTCAGGTACCAGGTACCGTACCTACTGGTGTGTTATCTTCCACTACATACACTTTATCCTGAAAACAAATATGGACAGGCTCCTTTTGCCCTGTACAAACTCTTCCTCCAACTTATTTCCCAGGTCATCTGTCATCTTCCCTACTTGCCCTTTCATTTTAATAGCCCAATAGTCATCTATTCAGTGATGCTCCGTTGTCTGTGAAGGAGAGTAAGTCCATTGTTAACTCCATAGCTTTAGTTTTTCCCCTTGAGAAGAACTTTGGACTTTTGCACCCTTTGGTTTGCTTTAAACCTGCCCATGGGGCTAACAATAACATTAATGCCTGTAGCGTAACTGGATCCTTCTGTACACACTGGGTGCTCTCCCAGCCCTCTTAGCACCCTGCAGGGCATGAGGGAAAGGGGGAGACACGCCATCCACAGCTGGCAGCTCACAGCACCCAGGGATGCCAACCCTTTGGACATGTCACCCACATCCAGCCTGGCCACAGCTCTCACAGCAGTGAGACCACAGCCTTGGTAGGTGCCAGCCTGGCCCTACAGCCCTACATCCACCCCCTCAGCAGCCATGTGTCTGTCCCTTTCTGCTTCCCCACAGGCACCAAGGCAGGGACCCAGGCAGCCCCCACGATAAGGCTTGCTTTTTCCTACCCATGCTATGGTAGATTGTATAAAAGTTTATTTGGGAAAATAATTTTGGTTTAAGGCTGAGATAAAAACCTAGAAAAAGAGATTTAATTTGTTGTGTTGCACCCACTGCTGGGGGGGAAAGAAAAAAAAATCTATTGCTTCCCATCAGGTGTCTCCTTTCCTGCTGCAGTGATCCATTTGTTTCCCTATACAGGGCACTTCCCAGGCACCTGTCAGCTCTCTTCCCTACTTCAAAAAGCACAGCTCCAGGCAATGCTTGTGACTTCACCCTAGGGCTGATGGTGAGGGCAGGAGGGCACCCGCACTCAGAAGCGAGCGGAGGAAGCAGCGGCATTGCAGGCGAGCGGCTGCGGTGCTGCCCTGCCTGCGCCAGGCCCATCGCTCTGGCACCAGCACAGATGCTGCCAGTCGCCCACTGCTTGTGGGTGCTGCAGGACAGGCCCGTGCAAGGAGCTGCAGGAGCAATCCTGCGCCATCACCGAGGTGAGATACCTGACCCAGACCACAGATAACAATTACCCACCCACTGGGCAGCGGGTGCGTGAGGCACCTGCCCCTGAGGAGGTATCAAGTGACCCTGCTGACGCAGGCAGAGGTAGTAAAAGGAAATGTTCTTGTACGTCTACTTGTGACTACACTGAGTGTCTTCCCAGAACAGCTTGCCAACTAAAGTACACAATGTGGTGGGATAGTGTAACCTATTGACATGGCTTATGCTGTTGAGAGGAGGGGGAGGAAATGGTGTTTCGAATTATTAAAAAAAGAATAAAAATGAGGAAGTCCCATATCCAAAATATATGCCAGAGAAATGCCAGGAGGACAACTGGTGCTTTACAGGATAGAGTTTGCAACAAAGCAGAGCTCCTTGGAGAGGGCTTGTACAAACAATTGTACTGGTTCAACTTCAAATATAATTTTCAAGTGATTTAGAGGCAGCGGAGTAAGCACCTATGTAGGTTTAAGAGAGCAATTAACTTGATTTATCTGAACTCTGATCATAATCAACATAAACTAAGCTGAAATCAATGCAGCTCAAGTGAAATAAAGATAATAATGCAACCCTTATACCAGGTTAGCAAAATCCATTTCAAACCAGCTCTGTAGCTTTTAGATGTGCAGCCCTGCTGTATACAAAATATTGTTCCTTCAGAAGCCACAGAAGTTTAAATCAATAACTACAAATGGTGTTTTCAGATGGGAGGACAAACAACAGTGTCCACAGCTAAGGAAATTCAAGGAGGTTTTCATTTGCTTACCTCTTCATAGCAAGACTTTTTATAAATACACTCTGAATGCAGGCCTGGAAAACAAGGAGCCTGTTAGAGGGGTGGCTGGAATGGCAGGAGGTGTGTGGGGCCACAACTCATTCATCACCCCACAGGGACAGGTGTGATGGATGGGCTTGGCCCCTTGACCAAACTGGTGGTGGTTTGGTGCAGGCTCCAGAAGAAGCAAACTGCAGAAAGAGTTACAGGAGGAGGAGGAGAAAAACTGAAAGTTAGAAGAAAGGGTCAAAATGATGCTTGTGCATGCTCCTCACGTCCCTGACATTGTACAGATTAGAAAATTAATTCCCAGAAGAATCAGATGGCAATATATGGAGTAACCCCAATAATAGTGATTCAGGAGAGGATGACTCTACTTTCTTTAAATCCCTCTGAATATGAAGCCAGACCTATTATTAAAAGAGAAATATCTGAAGGACCTTGGGGTGGTGCTCCATGATATATTGTACAAAGCACTCCCTGGGATCTGATACAATTGGCAAATTTACATGAAAAATATGGCAGAAAGCCAGGTGAAACCGAAACAGAGTATTTGTGGAGAGTCTGCTGAGTGGCAGCAACTCAATAATGCTGGCTGGAGATGAAGCAAATGGCTTTTGGGGTCCAGGAGTTCTCTTAAATTTAGGACCAATCCGGCATACGCATCCCACTCTATTACTAGCAGGATAGCTTATTGGGCTAGAGGAATAGATGGGATGGAATGAGATGAACCTTCCATAATCCTCATAAGATCTCTTAGCAAGCTCTCTACAGCCATCAGAAAAGCTGCCTGCATACAAGCCATGCATAGACGAGAACCTGGTGATATCCCAATATGCTACAACTGATTACGCGAGGCTAAAACCACTACTTGGAGGGGCCCCAGAAGTTCTTAAACCCTACTTAATTGCAAAGCAGGATGAAATTAAAAGAAACACAGAACACAATGAGGGTTTAGATGAAAATGATCACCACCATGCAGCCATTAAAGCAGAACACATTCTGATTCCAGTTGGACCTCAATGACAACTGGCAAAATTTTTAATAGGTATGGGAGCACAAATTTCCATACTAACACAACAGGATGCTGAGACGCTGGGTGTACGACCTGGATGGCAAAGAGTTAAAATTACTGGAGTGAACGGAGCAAGTGCTACTTGCCAAACTGAAAGTTAATTTATGGTTCCTGGTCACAATGAAAATATTTTGGGGTTTGATGTTTTGATCAGACAAAATTGGCACTTCCCAGCCTGCAGCGTGTGGTTCTTCAGTTCAAATATTAACCCAAACCTTGATAAAAATCAGGAGGCTACAGCGTGTGTGCTTCATGCTGCCCCTGCGCTCCCTGATTCAAAGATTATTAGTGTACTGCAATACCTGACTTATGCTGCAGCACAAAACGGGATTTCTGAAGTAATAGCAGACTTAGAAAAGCAGGACATTGTTTCCAGAACCCACTCCCTGTACAATTCACCCGTCTGACCAGTCCGAAAGCCAGATGGGAGATGGTGGCTGACAATTGATTATCAGCACTTAAATGCCAACACAGCTCCAGTAAGGGCTGCAATACCTAATACTGTAACTTTAACAGCCACCTTACAAGCAGCTGCAAACACATGGATGGCAGAGCTAGATGTGAAGGATATGTTCTTGATGGTCCCCTTGCAGGAGAAGCATAAAGAGAAATTTGCTTTTACTTGGGAAGGTAGACAATACACCTTTAACAGACTCCCACAGGGGTATAAACATTCACCTACAACGGCTCATGCTGCACTTGCTGAGCTCTTACACAGTCTCGCTCCCTCAAGATGCGAAACTGTACCAATATATAGATGATATCCTAATTGGAGGGACCTCCCCGAAAAGGTAGGGAGGCAGCAGCAGCATGTTAAACACTACATAAAGCAGAAGTTGAAATTTCACCCAAAAAATGTCAGGGACTGAGTAGAGAAGTAAAATTTTTAGGCACTTTGTGGATTGCAGGTAGTGCAGCAATCCACCAGGCACTAAGTAAAATAGAACAATTGCAGATACCCCAATCTAGGAAGAAATTACAACAACATATTAAGGTACTGGAGAGAACATTTACCTGGATTTTCTGTTTTTGCTCACCCACTGTATTCACTTTTACAAATTGTAAAACTGTGGAAGTGGAACCCAGAGCATGAAGAGGCAGTCAAAACTCTAATACAGGAATTAAAGTCATATCAGTCACTGGGGCCAGTACACCCCCGTGACCCTCTTATAGCAGAATGAGGGTTTGCAGAACATGGTACTTATTGCAATCTATTCCAGACCAGGTCAAGCAGGCCAAAAAGACTTTTAATGTTTAGCTCGACTGCATTTAAAGAGACAGAACAGAGATATTCTGAGCAGGAAAAAGGATTTTTGTCTTTAGTTTGAATAGTTAAACAAGTTGAGTGACTGAGGGATAACCCATCTGGAAAAAACCCACCAAGACTTGTATTGTTTTCTCTTTCCAGGAAGACACCAGGAACGATGCCAGCACACCTCCCCTGGAGGTCAGGTTAACCACTGAAGGATTGCTTACCCTTCTCACAGGAGCAATCATTGTCAGCACAGACCAAATTTGGCTTATAGGCCAAGAAGCCCAACACCCAGGGTGGAGACCCTCACTTCCTTTATTTACGCTAATCAATACAGTACATTCTGCACCAGACATGTTTCTCAGTTGTGGGTGCAATCTACTGTAACAGCAGTTACAAGGGAAGGCAATAAGGGTACCTTGCCCACTGAAATTCCAGAGGTAATTTGGGATAATGCAACTCAATTTGAAAGGAAACTCCAATCGAGGAAGCACTGAAGGCCAGAGCTGAGGGAACCCACATTCGCGGCTGATTCACCCCACTGAGCCTGTCTGCAGTAAGAAGGGATTTCTGAGAAGTGCAGTACCTGGAAGCAAGGCTGCTCCAGCAAACAGGACCACGGGAAGATGTATGATGAAAAGCACTGCCCAGCCTGATGCAGACAGACTTGCACAAGGCAGGTTGTGTCAGCAGCATCCAGGGCAGAGCCAGGGCCCTCCCCTGCCCGCAGGGTTGCAGCCACAGGCTGGATGGGGCAAGGGAGGTGTCTCCTGGAAGTGGGTACAGCTCATCTGGCGTGCACAGGCTCCCAGCTAAAAGGCTACTTGTGGCAACAGCCCCACTCCATCCATCCATCCCGGCACTCCATCCTCATCAGGGAGCTGGCATCCCCATTGCTTCTTATGCAAGTAGAAGCAGGCATTGAGGGCCATATCCACACACCAGCTAGTGACCCCCTGAAGAACACTGTCTGTAGCAATCAGTATGACAGAGATAATCCCTTGCTCATTCCTTACCTGTCTCCCACAGCAGATTTTTTTCATCTCGTGCTGGATTCAGGTTACTGCAACTAACCCGAGCTCCCTAGTCTGAAACAAGCTCACATGAGCAACAGCCAAATCCCAACAGGAATTTACTGAAAGCAACCAGGGAAGCTGAAGCCCCATTGCTATTAGTAGCCCTGCAAGCAATCCTGGTACAGAGGTGCAGGTGTGCTCTGCAGAGCAGGATCTCTCCCACCTGTGTGTGCCCTGAGCACCTGCATACCCATGACAGAGGCACTTTCTCAGTCCCCAGGGCTGGGCAAACAGTGACACTGGAAATGCTGGGAAACACCTGCTAGCAGCCTCTGCTTGCAGAGGACAGGGACTCCTATCCTGGGGGAGCGTGCTGCTGTGGTTCCAGTGCAAGCAGCACGTATATATCTGTAGCAAATACAGGAGTGACAGGACTATATTTTGCACCTGTGCAGAGGCTTCTGCTTCTGTGCCCACTTTGTGCACTGTAAATATCTGGATTCCAGTTGTTCCTTGCACAGAAAGCTGGAGGAGAAAGTCTTACTCCCACCCTCACCGGGCTCTGTGTAATTACCCTGTGTTAGCAGGTAGAGGAAGAGTTTCCAACTCCCTGTGTTCACAAAGCACTCACTTAGCGTAGCCCTTCCAGGCTGCTGCACATAATCAATAATCAATCACAATCAAAGACAGAAAGTAGATTCAATTAACATTAATAAAAAACCCTTGTAAGGACAGAGCAGCTCCATAAAAGCTGCTGCAAAAGACTGAGAAACAAGGGATTCTCGCCATGAGAGCTGCAGTAGACTTTGGTGATCTGCTTAGTCTTCCTAGACCTCCTAAGCAGCAAAGACCCTTGCATTTCAGGAGAAGTGATTTAATCACTACTTCAGACAATTGTCCTGGATAAAACTCATTTGTAAGCACTTTCCCTATGACTCGCTTTCTGATACATGATGACCCAGTAAGGAAACGTGTACTCATTAGTAGAGATCCTCACAATTAGGATGGAAAAGACAATGGAACAGTGGGGAAAGGGGCTCTTCTCCCTGGCCAGATGACTTCTGGTGGGCAAAGAGGTCTCTTCCATGTTTCATGCCTCTGGACTGAAGTAGTATGTTCCTCACTAAGCCCTTACTTTGCAAAAATCAGTCTCAAAGTCAGCAAGGACTGATCCAGGGTTTTGCCTTCACCAAGGCTATGTTGAAGAGACAGTGCCTAAATGGGGAGTGAAGGTGAAGAAGCAGCAGAGGCACATCCAAAATGGGCATGTGGGAAAAGAGGTGCACAAGGAAACCAAAACCCAGTGCGGTCCCCCACTCCTTACCAGCTCATTTTCTTCATCCTTGTTGAGGAGCACACAATGATCCTTCCAAAGCAGTTCCTCCATCTGATCACGTTGTTTTCAGTCCTGGATCTCCTTGACGGTGGCATCAAGCAATGTTGAACGCAGTTACTGACTTGAACTCAGGCCAGTGATAAAGCCAGCTCTCACCATGGTCCCGTCTGCTGCCTTAGAAAGCCTCACAGTGTGCACACTTCTTATTAGGCTCCCAGGAGAGGGAGGAAAATCCACCCTCACGTGTAAAGCTCTTAAATGTCTGGCTTATGTAAGACATGCTTTTCTCTGCCTTCTGGCTTTGCTGTGCTCGACGGGGTGGAACAGGCTGGAGCAGAGCTCAGGTGGCCGAGGGAGGGAGGGCACCTGTGATCCTGTGCAGGGAAGGTGGCTCTGCACAGGGCTCGGAGGGAAATCGAGGCACATGGCAAGGAGAAGGGTGGGAGAGTGCCACAGCCCCGCACAGAGCTGACCCCAGAGCAGCCACCCTAGCACTGGGAACCACCTCCAGCATGTCAGAGAGAAGCATCTGCTCTGGGGAGATCACAGTGTCTGGGCCCAGGCTTGGTTTCAGCGCAGTGGAGGTGCATGCTAGAGCAGTGGTTTTCAGGTGTGGATCCAGTCTGAACTTCCCCACTAGCTCTGGGCATCACCTCAAACATGAGCTTTGGTTCAAATTCTGCCTGAGTTACAAGGAAAGAGCAACAGGACTGGATGACTCCTTTGGAGAAGCCCAGCTGGGTGACATGGGACCCTTGAACACCGTGCAGCGTGAACCCTGCGAGGCAGGGAGAGATGGGGGCTCCAACCAGTCCCCCTGGCAGGGACAGCAGCGGCAGGAAGGCTTGGGAGCCCCACTGCACATCTTCCAGTCCCTCGTGCCCCAGCTCTCAGTGTTGTCAGAGACATTTTTCAGGCGTTAACCTGAAATTGCTCTGTCTCCCCCCGTTCTCCTTCTGTCACAAAGTCTGAAAACAATCATTTATCCAGGCAGGAAAAATGTGCTGCGTTATTGTCCTGGAATAAAGTATGTGTCTGTGTGAATAGAGACAATGGCGCTGAGTTTGCTCAGAGCCTTTTTGGCTCAGCCACAGGAAGCAATTCTCTATCACTGATGAGACCAGGGGATTTAAACTCTATAAAGAAAGAGACATGGTCTTTGCACACAGTGTATTTCCCCAGTGATGGCAAATCAGGAATTCTTCCAAATTCTCCTTCCCCCGGGTGGGAGAGAGAATGATGCCCAGGGACTGCAGTGCAGCATGTCTGGAGTCCTCTAAATCTCCCTCAATCTGCAGCTCCATCCTGGAAAGAGCTCCAAGAACTGAGAAGCACCTTTCACTAGGCAGACTACTAAGGAAATAAAAGCATTTATCCATGTTTCTTCTCTTTGAAACAGAGCAAGGAGAGGCCAGGCTGTCTGGCCTTAGGATGACTAAAGAGCAATTGTCACTTTGCTGCACCCCGAATCTACCTGGGGCTGGCTCTGCACAGTCCAACCAGATCCATCTTTGGTGGGTTCTGCCAGCTGCAGTTGTATCCATGAAACAGCAGAGATGGACCAAAGACTGAAGAATCCTGAAAAATCATGCTCTTGGTGGCAAAATACATATTTTTCTTTTTTTTTTTTAAGCATTGTTCTTTTGAGCTGTCTAAAGCCTGAATTGAATCAGATTTCAACATAAGTAAACAGTCCCCCTTTGTCTCTCTACCTGCCTCTGATCGGGTGTGGATGAGCTTCTCCACCACACTGTTCTGCACATCAGCCACTGTCATGCAGCTCCCTGGACAAAACATGCTTGCAGTCATTCCACTCCCTGGTTTTCAGAAGCAGTGCCCATTTCTAAGGGTCTTGTACCTCGCCCTTACATGAAGTCCAGCTGTGTCCTTTGTGGACATTCTTGTGGCAAAAGGCTTGTACACAGAGATAAAGTGCAACCCACAGTAAGTAGGTGATTGCCTACTACCAGGCAATGCCTCCTGTAACTCTGCAGGGGAAGGAAACTCAAGAGATGTATCATTAGCTGGGTGGTTTTACTAGTTCTCGGTATTTTGATCATCCAGGGTGACATGCGTTTCATTTACAGGAACATGACCTCCAGTCCCTGGACTGGCATCTCAGCAGTTTCCCTGCGTGGGGCAGCAGGACGCCCACCACTACCACTGTAGCCTGCGCTTGCAAAGTGCTCCCCAGGCTCTGTGGGACACCTCCAGCCCCAGTCCACCAAGCTGTGGAGCCAGCACCTGAAAAGGCAAAAAAGAAGGACTCAGGGAATTACAGGACAGTCAACCCATCCTGAATACACAGACGGATGTGAGAGAAAATTCTTAAGCAGTCAGTTTGTAAGTACCTAGGGGATAATAAAATGATAAGAAGCAACTAACATGGATCTGTCACGGGAAGATCCTATCGAACCAATCTCATTTCCTCCCTGACAGGGAGATGCTCCAGGGAACAAGACAGAAGCAGCTAATGTGGCACATTTAGGCTTTTGACAGAGCTCCCCATGAGATAAGGAGATACTGAGAAATAGGATTCTTTTATGAGAGGATGAAGGGTTGAACCCTAAGTAGGTGTCTGTGGCTTGCTGTCCATCCCAGGGGACCCAAAATAGTCCTGTTTTTGTTAGCAGCTTGGATAACAGGATGGAGAGGACAACTGAAAGGTGTTCATGAGACTGAGCTGATGGAAGCACCTGCTTTAGAGAAAAGAAACAATGCAGCATGATTTTGGGATGCTGGCCAAATAGTCTGGAAAGACCATATGAAAGTTAGTAAAATCCTGCACTTAGTAGCAGGAGGAAACAGGTACAAAACGAGGAGGTAGTGGCCAAGCAGGTGTATGACAGAGAAGGAGATGGAGGTAACTGCAGGTGCAGTTTCCTCTTGCCAAAAGTGTGACTGTCATTCTGAGCCACAGTAGCGGGAGGCTGGTGAGGTCTGTAAGATGGGAGGAAATTATTCCACTCAACTTGCTGTTAGCAAGTCCTTGGCTGGAGTGCAGGCTCTAGGAAGGTGTGACCTAAATGGCAAGAGTGCAAATGACAATGAGATGAGAAGCTTGGAAGACATGACCCATGAAGAAAAGTTGAATAACTGAGTTTGTTTAAACTAGAAAAGAGAAGGCTGAAACATAATAACTCTTATAATACACAAAAGAAGACAGTCCACTATTTTTTTTCTCCTATTCTTATTACACACAAGGAAAAATCAGACTAATTTCTTGTTAGATTAAACAATTATATTTCCAGAGTTAGTTTAGATATTCAGGAAGATTTTCTAACTTAGAGGATAGTAAAATACTCAAACAGGCTACCTAGGGCAGGAGGAAATCTTGTGCAATAGAAGATTTTAAGGAAAAGCAGGACATAATTTGCCAAGGATGATCTCAGGATAGGTAGATCTTGCCTCAGAGCAGGGAGATGGACCAAATAACCACACTGTGTCCCCACCAGCCTCACACTCTTTTGACTTCTGCAGGAATCCCTGTCCAAGCTCAGTAAAGCACAGCCCAGACCTTAATTGCAGTGGGGCAATGGCTCTCTGTGAATTCAGATCCAGATAACCGTATTTAGCAGTACCATTCCACTTATTCCTGGGACCAACCTGTCTGCAGTGAGACACCTGCACAGCAGTGTCTGTCAGGACTTACATTTCTTCAGTCCCACCTATATTTTTTCTTGCATATTTTCTGCTGCTTTTGTATTTCTCCTGATGTTTCTGTCATTCTGCCCTCCCCTCTCTCCTTCCCTGGGCTCTGACTAAGTTTATTCCTAGCACTGGTGAGTGTCTGATAGCACGTTATTAAAAAAAACTTAGCTGTATCGAACAGCTGAACAAAGCTACTGAAAAGCAAAGCCATAGTTTGATTTCAAACCCTTTCTCCCAGTGTCCAACTGATAGCAGTTACCACCTGGACCTCTTACCCCAAATGCCCTTGCTCTACCTCTGCCCACTGTGCCCCAGCCATCTCACAGGTTGGGTTATCTGAGTGCAGTCCCACCAGATGTCCGAGGTGATTGACATTTTTAGAGCATGTAAACAGACCACAGGCTTAACGACTGCATTCTTCACTTCTTCTGCAGGTGGTAGAGCTAAGAAGGCAAGTTTACTTAAAAGTCATCCAGGTTTATTCTGACCTCTTGAGAAGCATGGATGAGATGCTGTTGGTAAGCACAGTGAACTTTCTAGTAACAGCCAAAATGATTCAAACACTTGCTGGGTATCTATGGGCACTGTGCATGGTTCAAGTATCGGAGGTGTTGTAGCTGTACCACCACAACACTTCATGCACTAATCCAGCACAGTGGGTCAGCCCACACAGGACACTGCTCTTACAGGGCCAGGCCCCTCCAGCACTGGGCTAACTCATCCGCAGTGAACTCAAGGGAAGCGTGCTGCTCTGTGCGGCGGGGAACCATGCTGCTCTGTGCAGTACCCCTTTCAGCTGTGCACACACAGAGAAGAATCCATGCAATACTACAGGTTTGGGAAAGAGGGGCTGGAAAACAGAGCCGCGGGTTAGGGAGGTGGGGAGAGTGACGTC